GCCACCAGCAGCAGAAGCCTCATGGCTGCTAGGGAAGAGGGTGCGTCTACGTTGCGGGGGGCGGTGGCGGAAACTTGCAGCTCTCCCCCTCCCCGCTCTCGCCCCTCTCACTCCCCTGCCAGAAGACCTGGCACCCGCCTTTCCAGCACACGTCATAAAGTTTGCTGTGCTGGAAAATGTGTGTGTGTGTGTATGTGTACTATATCTTGTATGTGTTTAATGTGCGTGTGTGTGTAATATATCTTCTATCTGTAATATATTGGCAAGGTGTATTCAATCCTTTCCAAGAAGAGAGACTAGCGAGAGACTGACTACTAGAAAGTCAGCCACTGCAGCCGACCAGTACCTTTCTTTTTTTAATTAAAATATATTTCTAGAGAGAGAGAGTTATATATATATACATCCTCTATTCTAAGCTTTCCATCACGCATCCTAAAACTGCATTACGAAACCCGCGCTTCCCGTTACAATAAACAGCACACTCCCCTGCCCCTCGGGGCACCCACCCTCCACCCTCACCTACCAAAATCATAGTCCTTTAGTCCAAACCCCGATTTGGGGTTTCCATGCTCGGTTCATTCACTGTCCTTGTTGCTGTCACTTCCGCTGCTGCTGATCCCGTTGTTGTCCTTCTCGCTGTCTCCAGGCCCAGTTATATCTCTGTGCTCTTCGTTCTCCCTGTCCGCTTCCCCTCCCAGTACCTTTCACATGCTGTTGCTTCCAGACAGACAGCTCACGAAGGCAGAGAAAGGCTTCACACAGAGCCGTAGATGCTGTTTCTCTGTCCCTCCCCAGAGCACTGGGATTGGAAGGGACCTCAGGGACAGATCACAGACACTGGCCTGCTGCAGATGTCAATATAAAAACAGTCCTCCCCGCTCCCCACCACCGCCTTCCCTCTTCTGAGCTTCTGTTTCCCCCACAAGCCCACCTCCAAAACATCCGAAAAGTTTTGGATGATTTCATTTCACTTTGGAGATGTTTTGGAGCCTTCTGTTTCATTTCAGATTTGGTGTTTCGGGCACCGAAATGGGATGAAACAACTCCAAAACCAAACAGCTGCTGAAATATCCCCCAGTCCTAGAACAAATCCCTGGCTCTGTAAGTTGAGAGCCAACAGAACAAGACACAAGGGACTGGCATTGCACCAAGGGACAAAGGGTAGCTGCTGGGAGGTAGGACTAGGCTTTCCAAAGTGGTTCGGAGCTTCTGAAGCACTTCAGAGCCACTTTGGAGATCCGGCCATAGGGTATAATGGGGAATCAATGAAGTATCTATAACTTGGTTATTTTTTCTCTGATTTGTATAAACTTTACAGGAATTGTAGCCTGCGCTGAGAGCATGAAGCCTGCCAAGTTTCAAAAAGATCAGTGCAGGGGTTCAGGAGGAACTGCATCCAAAATTCTTGAAAGCAAAACTCATGTCACATCTAGGTGTTACAGCAGGGGGTGGGGGGGTGAAAAGTGCAGGGCTGGTGGCCCCGGGTAAAGCCACAAAGCCTGCAAGTTTCAAGAAGATCGGTGCCGGGGCTTGGGGGGCTCTGCACCTCAAGCTGCTGACAGGCAAAACTCGTGCCATGGGTGACACTGTGAGTGTTAAGGTGCAGCAGGGTGAAAGCTGCAGGGATGGTGGCCCCCGCTGAGGCCACGAAGCCTGCAAACTTTCAAGAAGATAAGGACAGGGAAGTGGCTCCGAAGCTTTTCCAAAGTGCTTCAGAAGCTCCAAACCGCTTTGGAAAGCCTAACGAAGCCAGCGCTTCGATCCAGACATGCTGCTTCGGACGCCAAAGCATCCAAAGCTTCTCTGGATCCAAAGCCTTGCGCAGCCCGAACTCCCAACATCTGTCCTTTGTCCCTTGGAAACTAGGAACAATGCATCCCAGAGGGAGCAGGTGCAATCACTGCGAGTCTTTACAGACTAGACACGCGTGTCCGAGCTGGAGTAGACAGGGTGGATCCGCACTGGAGCAGGGCATGGGAATAGATGAGCTCTCATCTAGTCATCTAATATATAGAGCCCCTGCCAGGTCTACTTTGCTCTGACTCTTTACCAGAAATGCAACATGGAC